AGATTTAGAATAGATATTAGGATGAAATTCTTTACTGTGAGGGTGGTGAGGCACTGCAACAGGTTGCCCAGAGAAGTTGTGGATGCCCCATCCTGGAGGTGTTCAAGGCCAGGCTGGATGGGGCTCTGAGCAACCTGGTCTAGTGGGAGGTGTCCCTGTCCATGGCAGGGGGGGGGGGCTGGAACTAGATGATCTTTAAGGTGCCTTCCAATCCAAACCATTCTATGATTCTATAATTTTTGGAATCAAAACAGGAATATCTGCATCTTTGTTTTAATCTGCGAAAAGAATCCTGCCATACAGGACAAGTATTAGCCTTTTCCAATCAAAACTATGTAACATTCTCAGGATGATTTAGTTTCATAGGATTCATACCTTTCATGGTTTGTTTGGGTTTTTTTAATCACATTGTAAGAGAATCACTACATTGGAACATATGAAGAGTGAGAATATGTGACTATACCTCAGTATATTTTTTTCAGAGTAAGACATTATGGTTCTTAAGGTAAATTGTCACACTTTTCAGCTTATGTGCAAAACTGATGAATTATTCATTTGTTGTAGTTTAGATAACTACCGCTACTTTACTTTGTCAAATGACCAAATCCTTCTGGAAGTATCTTGGTATCCATTTGAAATGTGTCTCTCCCAGCCATTTGTACTGTACAGTTTGAAAGTGTAGAAACGAAGATACTTAGTATAAGAGGCATTTGAGATGTGCTCTGTGTCATACAGTAAGGGCTTCTGTGTATCCCTCTGGAAATATAAGGTACATAAATGAAAAGCTCCACCTGCTCAAGTTTCTGGTTTCCTAGACTTTCCTTCGTGCTTTTCAGTATAAACTCATGCAACTTAAGATACACTTATTTATTGTCTAATCAATCTGCATATTCTTACATTACTATAATAATAATCTTACATTACATGCGAACATCTGTATGTTCTTTATCTGCAAAGAAATTAAAGATTGGCATATTCCGCGCGATTCAAGGTACCCATTCCTTAGATGGCTACACAATAGCACAAGTGGGAAAGCACAGTGACAACACCTCTTACCAAACTCCTCTATTAGTGGAAGGACAGAAAAGGAGGGAGAATAAAGCAGCTAGCTGGGAACAGCTAGTTCTGTGAAGCTACAGTGACTTCCACTGACAACATATTTAGTCTTAAACATCTTTTGTTCCATTGCAACTAAAAAAAAGACTCAAATTTCAGATAGCACATTCTGATCAGTACAACCTTGCATACATACATCTTTCTTCTGTAACAGCTGCTCTGAAATTCCTTTAAGAATTGAGGCATTGCACTAGAAGAATATAGTTCTACTATACAACTATATTTCTACCCTGTGGGCTCAACTCCTGCCCTTCCTAAAATCCAGAAGGGAGTATGAACAAATATGGTATAGCACGACACTATCCCATATGAATATCAACCCATTGACTGCACTTTAATGTGAATTATGCCTTAGTCTAAGCAAATTACTAAAATAAAACTGCTCAATAACCCTCATCTCTGCTGTGTCAGGTAACAGTCATAAAGCGTTCCTGCTACCACAAAAAAGAAACCACATGCAGAGCAAACCAACCAGAAACACCTTATCTGGAACCATGACCAACTCTGAAAAGCAGTGCTCCTAAATATGCTATGGATAAAAAGCTAGATAAATGCATTTTAACTCAGCCATTTTTAAATACAGCATATTTTCATGACTTGGAAACATAACTGATTGAAATTCTGCTCCTAGCTTCCTCTATGTCAAAGCAGCTTCTTTGCGAGAACTTTAGAGACAGAGCTGGAAATAGTTTTCTTGTACCTATGCAACTGAAATTTTAAAACACCTGTTCTTCAGAGTCCAAAAACCCTAAATTTTGGCAAAAATTACAGGCACATAGGTAATGACTGGTAATTGAGTTACTCAACAAAAAGTGTCCCTTTGATTTCCAGTTCCTCTTTCACTAGTTTCATCTTCCTCATTCATACCCTCCGAGTGTACTCTCTCACAGGCTATGAATTATTTGAGGTTGAGGACCTTCCAGCCTCTTGTTGCACCTTCTACACTTCTTTCAAAATGAAAGAAACCCAGCATTACTCTTTGACCCACAGGCTATTAGTTATTAATATGAAGTATAATAGCTTCAAGAGACATTCACTCAGAAGGATAGCCAGTATCTTGGTAGAGTTTCCATTTTGCTTAACTTGGAACAGAAACTTCTCTTTTCATTTTCCCCAATTCTAAATGCATACGAGCCATCATGCTGTTCAGCATGCTGCAGATTGATCCCTTTTGCTCCCTAAGATTTTATGTAGAATTTAAATCATGAAGCAGCTAAATGTGTACATGGCAACAAAAACTGCAATCCAGCAAATGCTACGCTGTTCCCATGCTATGATCCTGGACCCTGTTTTAGTTACTAAGAAGTTACTACATTTAACATCAAACCTCCTCCAAATTCAATAGGCAGCATCATGAAGTCTAATACCAAATTTTCCAAACCATACCTCCTCACATACTTTCCTCCTTACAAATAACTACATGTTTAACAATGGCTGCATTTTACCAAAAGACTTCAACCACAGACAATACACTCATAAGACCACAGGGGCTAGAGAAGCCTCTGTGAGGTTATAATTCACTACATATACTAAATTTAGAATATTTAAAAGGATCTGAAACAACATCTAAGCTAGTAGAGGGAACTTCCTTGTGTAAGGCTAGAAAAAGCAGTTTGCCTGGATACTTTGCACACAGAAATGTGAGGAATGGCAAACTGGAAGAGAATACAAGCTCACATTGCTCAGGCAAAAGACTGTCGCTCTCAGACAGTGGCAGACCCGCAGGATTTCCTCCATTTTCTGTAGTGCTCTGACTGAACAGAGATGGAGTGGAGCCTTATTACAACTGCAATGAAAACTAAGCGCGTGGCTCCCACTATTGCACATAAATCCCCTTGTAACTTTTCTTAGAACAGTAGCCTAGGCTGACAACTCTCATCTCCAGAAAAAGACACATCACCCAGTACAGAGCATCTATAGGGAAACATACCTGCTGTCCACTCATCAAGTCAAAAAAGACAAGTTCACCTGCCTGGACTAGCAAGCAAAATACATAACAAAACTGTGAAATACTTAAGATGTAAATACTTTAGAAAACACCAGTTATGAAATTCCAAAAATTCTCCAATTTAAGATGTTAAGAACAATGGTAAAGGAAAAATATTTAGGAAATAATCAATAATCATCAATTTATGCTGATTTTCATTTTACTGTTTCTTACGTAGTTTTTAGATTTACTTGCTGTATCTTCTCATTTTTACTACCTAGTTATCTCCACAGGATGGATGCAAAAAGATTTCTATCAGCAGAGTTAACGAAAAACATTTCTTTCAAGCAAGGCACAAAATTTAGATTTATTTATGTAATTTGATTAATCCCAATTTTTGTTTTACATTAAGTACAAAAACCAACTTAAACGTAGGTATAAATACAATTTCCACAAAGCAGTTCAATGAGATTCAAAATCAGTTATGTATCCAGAACTGTAAAGCACAATTAAAAGCAGCCCAGGATATACAGATTGCTTACCATAACTGCTGAAAGAGCTCATAATGTATGAATATATTTAACAACCTCCAGTAATAAGTTATCGCCTTTCTAATCTTTCATTTGAAATGCATTTAGCAATTCTGTACCTAACAAAGGAAGCATTAAAGAATGAGAAGTGCAGACAAGTTTTACTCAAGTTATCTGAGGCCTAAATGAAACACACATACAATTAAAAATTAAATAACATAACAATGACTTAAATATTTTCGTTGAACATTTTTTCTAAGAACATAAAATCTAAGATAATACAGAAAAATAGCAACAGGTTCAAAGACTGATTTACTTCTCAAAGAACCTATGGTGTACTGTAGCTGCCGGAAATCTTTTAACAATTATAGAAAATCATATTTCCAAGTTTGGTACGTTCATATTTTCTAGATGACATACATTTAAGACAACCATCCATGAACTTACTTACAAATAGAAGCTTAGTAATTTTAAAATCTGTATAAAAAAATCAGTTTTGGCACTACTCATAAGGCAATGGATGACATGTACCTAAGACAGCAAAACACATAATGAAAGCATAACCAGAAGAAAATCTTTTAACTTAAAGAAACTGTGAGATTTTAATTATAATTAAAGAGGAAATTAAAGTATCAGCATTTGCAAGTCACTAAAACACCCTATCCAAAATACTGAAGATTCTTTTTATATGCAACAGGAAATTGCTTTAATCTGTGAAGCCACTGTGCCATGTCTCATGGGAAAACCTGGTATTTCTATGATTATTAAATTATCAAACTAGTTTTATTACCAGAAAATAGCAAAAAGTTTAAGGAGAACATGATTTTACTTCTTAAGTAAGCAGAAAAAAAAATATTACTCTGAAGTCTAGCCTTTGTTAACTGTCTATAAAAAAACCCCAAAGGTAATTTTGTCATTCACTCCACTGAGTAAAGACCACAGTTTCTAACTTTTCTTTATTGATGTGAATGGTTTTAACAACTTCCTTTTTGCATTTCCATCAGCTTTAATGGCAGTTGAACCTTAAAATTCATTTTCTCAGTGTTGCCATGTTTGCACTGCAAAGACTGCAAGCCGAGATTTCATAAACTGTGGATTTAATTTAAATTTAAAAAATAATCTTTGCATTTATCTTAAATTTATAAAAAGATTTTTTCAAAACTTAAGGCAAAAAAACAAGTTTTATTGGTTATGTTTTGTTAAGTCTGAGCAGGTGTACGAGGCTGTTTAAATATCAAAAAAGCTAACGCCATATACAGTAATACCAACAAAAGTAAAGAATAAGGCAGCATGCACCCTTAAGACGAAAAGAAAATTTAATTTTACAAGATGTTTAAATAATCCAAAGGCAAAAAGTGTCTGTCTCCTCTAAGAGTATCTTCATAAAACATGGAAATTTTAGAGGACATCAAGTTACTAAAATATTCCGTTCAACGTTTATACAAATACATTACTACAATTATAAGTTTACATACAATCAACTGACATCTCAGTGTTAACTAATTACTTAAATTTACAAGACAAACATAAATAAAGCTGTTAAAACAGGCAAGTACAGTACTGATCTATCATTCAGCACAATGTATTTTGTATTTCTTTCACCTTGAAAAGAATCAGATAAGAATTGTGCGAAGTCATTCTCAAACCTAGAAATAAAATAAAAGAGAATTAAGTATATCCATGTAGCTTTTACACAGCATTGGCATATTCCAAATGCCTAAGTCCTGTTTTCAGGCATATAATTTACCATTTAGCAACCGTTTGTCTGTTTCTCAGAAGAGGCCACAGTCTTTAAGGTTATTTTTAATAATGACATCAGTTACAGCATCAAAAACAAACTGCACATTTTTTGTGTCTGTGGCACATGTGAAGTGAGTGTAGATTTCCTTCGTGTCTTTTCTCTTGTTCAGATCTTCGAACTGACACTGAATGTAAGCAGCTGCTTCTTCGTAAGTGTTTGATCCTAGAAGGACAAAATTGCCCAGTAAGCAGGTTTCAAATGAGAAAGAGTTAAGATGCATCCTATATCTTTGAAGTAAGTGGTTCTTTGGAAATAGTTAAGCTAAACCCGAAGAAGTTTAAGTAATTCCTCAGCCATTGCTTTAAGATACCATAAATACATCTTGAAGGAAACCTTTTGGACACATTTTTAAGAATAAAAACTAAGGACTCAAATTCCACCTGCAGGAAGAAGAGTCTTTCCATTTATTTCAGTGGCAGATGGAATAAGTCATTAATGACCCATGACTCTTCCCTAGATTAGGATATTTTTTTTTTCTTTCATTCAATTTATTCACTGTCAATTTTCATGGGTTTAGAAGGTTTGAGTTTTTCCCAAACTCAACTGAAGACATTTGGCATACACATTTTTCTTAAGCTTTTTACCTCCAACATGCAATTTTCTGTACAATGGAATAGCCTAAAGTTACAATGGAAATAATACATAAAAAGGCTAAGACTTATTAAATCCTCCTCTTTTTCTATGTATTTCCTGAATAAGCCACCTCCTTCTAACATACATGTACACTCCCTGTTCAAATAAACTCTCATGGATCCTGAGAGATTCCTGCTAATGACAAAAATTACATCTAAATACAAACATAGGAGGACATCAGAAAAAAATAATGGGCTAAATAAATTAGGCCGAAAAGAGCTGCAGCAGTAACATTCAAATGCTATCAGTGGACCAGCATTATTTCCCTGGTTAAAAAGATGAATCTGACTTAGCACTATTTTATTTGTGATCCATAAAAACACCCCCTTATCCATAAAAACTCCTCCTTATTTGTACATCAAAAATGACGTAATTTAACCAAAAATTACTTGAAACCTGCACCCCCATCCAATACCTGCATATTCAGGGTAGCAAATAGTGAGAGGACTCCGTTTAATTTTTTCTTCAAAAAGATCTTTCTTGTTCAGGAAGAGAATAATAGAAGTGTCTGTGAACCATTTATTGTTGCAGATACTGTCAAACAATTTCATGCTTTCATGCATCCGATTCTGTAATTGGAAAAAAAACACCTTGTTGTAATTTATCACACTGCAGTAGTAAAATCAGGATACATATTTTTGATTAGTTACAAATGAACCAGACAAGTTACAAAACTAAGTTTCTAGCATACAGAATCACATTTACCACAGGGAAATAAAAGAGAGACCAAGACCACTACAAAGAACGCTTTCACAAGAAGGGTTTAAGCAACTATTTATTTTTTTTTCCTTCTCATTTCCAGGCTTAAGCTGTTTAATATTTTAGAAATTTTTGGTGTGTTTTGACATTATGCAGTACAGATATTCTACAAGAGTTGCTGAACTACCTGACTTTGTCTTATATTGATTAGATCTTCTGGAAACTGAAAATTAAATTCTGCACCTAGCTGAGATTCCAGCATAACAGGAAAGAAAAATAAAGCTCTATAGAACTAGAGAATCAAGTGATCAGTTTTTTTTTTCCTCTTACCCTAATTTGTAACTCTGTAGAAAAATTATCCAACATGTAAGTACTTCGGCCAAGCTCCAGTCATTTAAGTAGCAGGGTGCTAGCTATGACCTTCTTTGGCTACATTTGACTTGAAAGGGTTTTTTGTTTCTCTTTCCTCCCCAAACTATATGTTATAAGAAGTTGCAGAACATGAGGAAGAGCACAGAATTCTGTTAATGATTCACACACGATAGATAAGCATCACTTTAGACCACTAGGATAGTAAAAAGCATGCACACTGTGCATACTGATATGAGAGGAGTCACACCTTGAAAAAGAAGAAAAGAGTGGAGGGGGTTGGAAGGGAGCAGGAAGAGAAAAATTTCTGCATTTTTTTTCCCCACATTTCACAAAAATTTCACATTTAGAAAGAAACAAAAACTGCAGACTGAGGAAGGAAAGGAAAACAAAACATGCAGTAAAGTACAAACAGGTAAGTTAAGCAATTTCTTATTGACAATCTATCCTCATTAATTTGTGTCCTTTAAAACATGAAAGAGCGTAGCCGAAAAGAATACTTGTCTCATAGTACTCCTTCTGAGAATATGAGGAAACAGTTTGAAACCTGAAAGCATGAACACCATCACCATTTTTTTGAGACCTTTTACACAAAACCCATAAATCTTACAAAGCAGTAATACTCTAAAAGATGTATTTATAGCTTTCCTTTCAAACTTATTTAGTTTTTATCCAACAACTATTCCTGTCTTCAACATCAAGGTACTTGCCATTTCCTCATCTTCAGCCAAGACCAAGTCATAATCACTTAATGCCACACAAAAAATAATTGCTGTAACACCCTCAAAACAATGAATCCATTTCTTCCGCTCTGATCTTTGGCCTCCAACATCAAACATTCTGCAAAACAGAAGTGCAAAGCAGGGAATGAACTTTGGAATTTCTAGCTTTTTGAATATTAACCAATAAAATCTGAAAGTATCAGCTGTGTAAGTCCAATCACAGAAGTTTTAAAAAAGCATAAAAATCTGCAACATTTATTACCATTTAATATCTCAGTATAAAAAAAGCAATTCAATAAAGCCTTAAAAGTCGTCTTAGACGTCATTTTACAAAACATGAGAAGGTGCAAGATGAAAGCTTAAGAAAACTGATTATTTACAAATACTTTGTACTATATTTCAAAGCTAATTGCAATCTATAAAAAATAAAAATAGTTAGCTTTACTAATTGTAAACAAGATGAAAGTGTTACTCCATCTTTAGCCCAAACAAACAAAAAGTGTAAAATAATAAAAGGTATTGATCAACAATGCAAGATTCTTTAAGAGCAGAGTGGTGTTTGGTTTAATACTTGGAAATAATGCAATACTAAGGAAGTTGGATACAAGTAACACTGACTTGATTCTTGTTGTTTTAGTATTCTGAGTATATAAAAATCTAATTTTCACTTTTTCAAATTTAATCTTGAATCTTTAAATCTTCCTCAGTTTCAGCTCCTCTCTCTTCTAAACCAAACTGCAACTTGATCTGTTTTTCAAGTGTCCATGTTTAAATGGGATATTTAAGAGACAATAAAATAATTTTCAAAATTCTCTTAAAAGACAAAACAAGCATTATATGAGAAGAACAATCATCTTCCCTACAGTTTGGAAATGCTGTTAAGTGGGAAAACTGAGCTATAAAGGTGAATCTTGTTTCTTAGCTTAGCAGAAATAGAATAAGAAAAGACCACATTCCAGAATTTAGCAGTGGAGGATCAGCAAATTAGCACAATATGAATGGATTTGCTTTTCTCTGCTGTCTAAATACTTAAAATGGCCATTTACTAACTATTATGGGCTACAGCCACTCTGAAAGACAGAACTTTCATTAGACATTATTAGGAACTTCACATATTTTGCAAGCCAGATAAACAGCATCCTGATATAATGAACTGTGAGTCATGGGTGGGACAGAGGATGGACATCCAACACACACACAAAAAAAAAGGAGACAAACAGTGGTGTCCTGAAATTAAGTGATATATACATCATAGGATCTTAAAGAGAGAGAAGACAGACTTTTTCCACCTGTTTCCTTCCTATCACAGAAAAAAGTCTGTTGTCTCAAATTCTTGCAATGACTTATAGCTTCAAAACAATGCAAACATGTCACATATTACTTCCCTCGCTATATCAGTCAATATTCTATCACGCAAAAATTTAATTTTTCCTCCTACTTACAAGGAAATGTAATTATTCCTTTTAAAAGAGCCTGACTTTGGTCTTCAGGGGTTTTCACAAGTAATTTTAAGCCTTTTCTACATTGTCATAGAAAAAGAGCTTAGAATCCAGTAGGCATAAAAATGTTGAAATGGGAGGACGAAGAGAGAAGAGAAAGAACAGAGAACAGAGCAATTCCTACATCTCCATCCTCTTTGCTGTAAGCAGTGGAATGGCCAGCTCTATCATGAAAGCCTTATTTGGGTAAAAATGTCATACGAACAGGAAGAGAAATCCAGACTAGAACAAAAATTGTTAAGATGGACAGTTATAATTCCTGTAAAGATACTCCAACATGGCCTAAAATAATTCAGCATTACATTATTAATAATGCTGTCACATTGAGGGGTTTTGGTAGACAGTAAGGCATGTAGGGCTGAACAACAATAAATCTTATTCTTTATAGGACAGAAGAAAATACAAGACAGAAAAAAAAACCTGAGAAATTGAACAAGAAAATTGCTCCTTTTATTTTTTGTGGACATCTTCTAAGGAACATGAGAAATTAAATGCTTTATACTGATGGCAGTACTGTGGTATCAATCTGCACGGGTCTCCCCTAGCTCAATAGTATCTTACGGCACTGCTCAATGCAAAAATATTACTACTAAGATGTTAACTGAGAGGTATAATAAAACAAGGCACAACTTCCCATATTAATAAAGGACTGTTGTAAAAAGTATTCTTTCAAAGAACAGCTAAAATATGTAAAGAAAATAGGTCTACACATGAGGCACTGTATGATTTTTGTCATGCTCAATATGTTGCCAGCATGTATCCTGGGAAAGGAGGAAAAATGCAGAAGACAGACAACGTCTAGAACATAAAAGTGTAATTTCCAGTTTGTAGTCACAGATATTGATTTCAGCCAGAAATATTTGCTTCAATTCAGAATTGCCTCTCTGCCAGTGGTGTGTTTCACCAGTGATAATTGTCTCTTTTTGGGGCTGCCTTTCTAATGGTGCACCTAACAAAGTCCCAGTTCTTTATGTAAACCACATTTGTGCACTCAATCATTTACAGATACCACCTTCCAATACGGGAGGGTGGGCACACAGGGTTGTGTGCAAACTCATCTTTTAAGCACTTGCCTCAGGTGCTAAAATTCATAGTACCGTCCATGGTACGACAATTCAAAAGAGCCATATTTTGCTTATTCAAGGTAAGTCAGAGTCTACAATGAACTAAAAAGAAATACAAGAAAGAAATTAAGTTTTAATCTATCCCCCTTATCTAATGAATGAAGGTATTAGAAAAATGCTTTAATGACTTTCCATTATTTAAAGAAAGCAGACTTCTCCAATGAGATTACAAGGTGACTATGCCACATTAAGACAAATTACTCGACTGACGTAAATGTAAAGCATTAGAGACACTTCTCCAGTCATCTCTCTACTAAGCTATGTTACTTAGTTATAATAAATGGGTAGCTTTCCGAACGGTTTATCTGCAATTGTGCAAATTTAAGGAATTATGCAAGGTCCTTTCATTAGCACAGTATGTTTTTGAAAGCTAGTTTTGCCAGATTTGCTATGTTCTGCATCTTTCAGACTATTTAAGCAAAGAACACAATTCTAGTACCCATACAAAATGTGACATGGGCCAAAAGGACACCAGATAATTATTACAACAGCTTTCACTTTTTTTTTTAAGGTTATAAAAGTTGTTTGTTCCAGTCCCCAGCCTTGCAAAAAGACTGAATTTGGCAAATATTTTTTTGAGGCAGGGTAAGTGTTTACAAAAATATGATACTGTTGTGGTTTGGGCTGGGCTGGCCACTAAAACAAACAATAGGTGCTTTCTTTTACCTTCACTTTAATGAAATATTAATAATAAAATAATAAAAAGAGAAAAATAATATTAATAAGAAAATAATTAAATATATACAATGTATACAGAATCAGTATCGAGCTCCCAGGATGATGATCACATCACTGGCAGGAACTGGGAAAGTCCCAGACTGGACTCAGCAATGGATGGGAACTGGATTCCAGATCTGGATTCAGGAACCCATTGACTGGGGTCAAAGGCAGACGAACAGACAGAGTCCTCCTCAGACACCAGCCATTGAAGAAAGAGGCTGACCCCTTTGATCCCTCAGCTTTTGCAGTGAGCATGAGGCAGATGGGATGGAATACCCTGTTGGTCAGTTTTGGGTCTCCTGTCCTGTCCGCTCCTCCCCACAGGCATGACACATTTACACTCTTCCACTTCCAACCACCTAACTTGGTACATAAAGTCAGCTGACCTTGGTCGTCACAGCAATAAGTACAACCAGAAGCCTCTCCGCATACCATTCCTTGGTATTAATTACAAATATTAGACCTTATCTGCTAGAAGTGGACACTGTCTGAAAAACACACCGTTAATTTCAGAGAGTTAGAAAAGGCTTAACTGAAAAGTAAAATGACTGAAAAGAAAATTAGTTCTGTTTTACCTCAAATCAGGACGGATACATATCTGGAAAGTCTCACATATTACAGTTATTAAAACCAACCTGAATTTTTTATTATTCCACTTTCCTGTTTTCCCTGCACTGTAAGACTCAGGGGGGCAGGTAGATTAAAAAAACCTACCAGTTTTATGTTACTCTACTATATGACTAGGTAAATTGCACTAGAAAGGATTAAATTACAGTTGTTATTTTTAGAAATCTTCAAGTTGCTAGATTTTGATTTTTAAGAAAACACAGTAAAAATAAGTAAATAAGGAAACAAATTAGAAGAAAAAAAAAAAGACCCTTGGCTTTCTGATCCAAAACTGTCAGAGACATCATAACCTCTAACAAGGTCTTCTACACAGGTATACTATCGTGCATGTGACAATGCTCATTGCTATTTACTGTTCTACAATGGAATAATGCCATCTTAAAAAAAAAAAAGATTACTCCCTCTTAGAATTTTAAAATTAAAAAAGGATTCCGTAGAATTGTTCCTTACCTTCAGAGATATCTTTATGGGGAAGTCTCTGGATATCACCCTATATAAATGCAAGTCAGCCACTTACTTCTACTTAGTTCTCAATTAATTAGCAATGGCTGTACCCATAGGAAAATATTTCATGCTTCTGTCAATTCTAATGCTAATGTTTTATAATTTTGTACTGAGACCTGAATTTCCATAAGAATTTTGTTAAATTATCAGAAGAACATTTCTACAGAATAAGGTGTTCTTTGAAGACAAAAGTAGCAAATAATCAGACTCAACTTCTGAAATAGTCTATAGAAACAGGATGAAGATGACTTGCTATTTGCAGTTTAGATTGAATCAATTATCAAAGCTATGCTAAGCGCTTTATAGAGAAGGCTGAAATGAGGCTCAACCTCAAAGAATCTAAACACGCAGCAAAACAGGAAAGAAAAGATAATTAATGAAAAAAAATTGAAGTACACAATATTGCACAGCTAGTCATGTTTATATACCCTCACCTTGGTATAATCAAGCCTTTTATGCTTTTCGTTCACCTTAAAAGTTCTTTTCAATGTTATGTAAGAGTGTATTTCTTCAACCCTCCGAATAAGTCATTAAGCCTATCTCCTAAGGCACCTGTACAGGTGTTTAAATGTACAACATTACAGCTAAATACTGCCAAAGGCCTGTCTTATACTTCTGTAAAATGTGTAACTGTAATCGTATGGTCCTTATAATGGACTTCATAGGACTGTAATCATATAGTCCTTATAACAGTCCTAATAATCAGTACAGACTGGACATAGCTACCTGCATACAAATTCATTGAGAATGTAGAAGAATGTAAATCCATCTACAATACAGAACTCAACAAGAAACATCAGAGAGTGAGAAAATGGACATTAGCATTTACATGGGAAAAAAAGTTTTCCATGAACATACTAAACAAATATATTGTATAGACATGCTGACAACAATCTCTGCACAATCTAAATGCAGATGAAATGTGAGTTTTACTGAGTTTTCTTCTCATTCTTCCTGATGAGTAGGAGGTAGGATATCATTACGTTTATACTATCCTATGCTTTCACCATGAATGTCTTTGGACATAAAATGTTCAGAATATTAACATTATTTAGTAAATCACACATTAAAAGAAACATAAGTCACATTCTTCCATCACTAAATAAAATACTACCTTAAAGTACAACACACATTTAAATTCAGTACTTCAGGAAAATGGATTTACTCTTTCATATGACATCGGCAAACATTTACAAGCCCCTAGTTCTCCAACTGAATTTGAAGGGAAGAATCTGATAGAACAACTGTTATTTAACATGGCAAAAATTGGAATATTTTGAGATTTAATTTACATATAAAATATCTTTACAAAAAGCTTCCAATAAACCCCAAGCATTTACTACTTAATACCTGCATATTTATTCTGAGTTATTACAGGAGTTCCAACAACTCCCACATCCCTTCAGAAAATTGAGCTGAGCATGCAGAATTTTTTTCAGAGAAAAAGGCAGGGGAGTATCAAAGTTGAGGTTAGACAAATCATTGAAAGTCCATCTTCTAGAACTTTACAGAAACCATAACAGACAGATGAGCATGCAGCATTATTTACATACTTAAAATGAAGATCTTTGAAAGTAAAGTGAGTTTCCACTATTCCTGTAGTTTTCACTCTAGTCCTGAGAACGTCCTGTTGAGTTGGAATGTAGCTGGTTTGTGCTATCCTGTCCAAGTCATTCAAGTAACTGAAGGTAAAAATAAATACTGCTTTCAGTTATTCATAAAACAGTAACATGATAATACAAAGAATTACAGAAGTTCTAGGTCCATTCATTATATTGTGCCTGACTTTCATAGAATATATTTCTCTGAGATAGGACAAAAGACAAAACACATTATTTCCCTCAATCTTCCAAGGTTTTTTGAAATAAGCTTTAGAGACACAAAGACATTTCATCCTAGAAGAAAGTAAACTTATGCAATTGACTCCACTACAAAGAATTCTTCTGAAATCCCAAAATGCAATCATGGTTCCACTACACCAATGTTATTTGCACTAACTAGAAGAACTCCATCTTTGTAACCTCCTGAACTATAAGTTACTTTGAACCATAACCAAAGCCCCAAATTACCCTGAATCTGATAATAGGTATGAAAAGAACAACCCAGTGTTTTGGCCAGAATTAATGTTTTTAAAAAAATGCTTAATACATAACAATTAACTTTCTATTGAGAATTTCCAATTGCACAGATTTTTGACAAGACTATATTTTCATTGCCAAAATTCTTGCAATGAAAGCCAAGAAGCCCAGTGTTTCTAAAACCCATACAAATCTTATTTGTGCTTTTCCCATAGTAAATAGGGAAGGCATTATGTTCTTCTTTCAGTCTAACCAGACGCTAGCAATTTTAAGGATACAATTGTATGGCTAGAAGAACAGTTTTAAGAAACTGGTGGTAGAGGTATCTAAAACAACAAAATAGAACAGAGGAGGTTACTAGATAAAAGTAAGCGACCCTCCAAATGAAGTGCTCTATATTGAATAAAGTTTATAGAAGGGCTATTTCTTAGGTCAAGAGATCTGTCATTGTGAGCTCAGCTTGTTGCCATCTACCTTCTGTACCCTTAGAAGAACTTCAACAAACAAGTAACAATCGTGGTGGAAGTATCAGTATTATTTCAATACTATTTGATCACATTTCTATTCATTTAATATGCCTATAATTACATTAGTCCAGCTGTAGTCTTCTCAGTTACCTTACCTGCATGTTGCTTATTTATGTACAGTTATTCTATAGAACAGAAGTACCTTATTTTAAGGAAAGTGAAAAACAACTTCAAACACTACAAGTCAATTCAGCTTACAGTTGCCCTGTAAGGCCAGTATCACTGCTATGTCATTCTTTACCATCTTACCGCTCCCTCAATGGACTCTTTTCCTTGCTGTCCTACCATTACTTGCTGCCATCACATCTTATTTCTCACACCCTTTATTCCTTACTATTTTATTTTTCTAATAACTACCCTAGCACAGAAGACATATCCTGGTTGTTACCTTTGCTCAGTACATTTCTAACAGAGACCATTAATTAACAAATAAAATGCAGTGATGTTGAATGACAGAAGAAACTCTTATGAACATGAAGGTAGTATCCTTGGTAATACAGACTTCACATCACACAATCAAGTTTCCTGAACATGTTCAGATACTAACAGGTATTGAGTCATGTTTTTGTAATAAAAATGCTGTGTAACGTATTAAAGCACCTTAAAGCAATTCTTGTCTTCCTCAAGAGGATGAAACAACTGGTTGGAACATAATTCAAATTCATAATTATACCACACCTCTTCCTCTCCAACCCTGAAGGTTAGTTGCAGCGTTTTGACCCAAGCAGACAATCTTTGTCCAGACACTTCGATATTTTCCATCTACATGGGAGCAGGATTCCTCAAAAGCTGAGACTTCTATTCCTTTAGCTATTACTTACAAGATTATTTTGTCACATAGTACTTACTAGGCTGCAGAGTCATTAAGCTGGTATTCTCTAGATCTGTTGAAACAAGCTTGAACTCCACTGTCTTTCCACAGTCTCTTGATAACTCCAGCAAGCTCTGCAGTCATAAATCCTTCATCTGCTGCTCCAGCTAACACAAAGAGCTGCCGAGCATCATCCTTTAAGATGTAATCAGAAAATGGAGAAACAAACATTGAGAAACACAATGGAAGCATTATAATCTAAGAACTCTATTCAGCAAATGAGCTACTTTCTTAACCTGGTAAATGTGAATGTAACCAAATCAAAAAGTGTGAAGGAAAACAATTGGGTTTAGTGTTCTGCATAGGATATTAATTCCCACATTTTTCAACAGCAGAAAGACTACTTAACCAAATTTCTCACTGGCTGATAAAGATTCTTCTGATCTGTTTATAACTTAACTAAGCCTCTATAAACCAAAGTAGTAACATATTTTGTGCTCAAGTCTCAAGTTAACCTTATTTGTTTATCAAATACCCCAAACTGAATAGAATGGTTACAACGCATACTAGAACCTTCAGAAATGCAGCTGTATGTTGACTGACTGAAGAAAAGACATTAATCGCTTAAGCTTCAAAAATCAACTTTCTTTGAAAGTGACAAATGATCATTTCTTCCCAAATCATGCATCAGGATGCAGAAAAACACTTCTTGAAGCCTTTCCAAATAAATCAGGTACAAAAATCTGTTACTTTAATTCTTCTACAGAGACCAAGTTTTCTTGGTAATGCCATATCAAGCAAACATCAAGATTTTTAAGACAGCAAATGCTAGATTTTAAGACTAAGTATAATGACTGTCTTTGAGAGTGAGGCTAATGGAGTACAGGATGTCAATCCACCAGTATCCTGTAACAGAATTTGACCAGCTGGCTACCTTCATCCAATTTTGACTAAGGAAAGAAAAATGTCGGACCTGTAAGGCATTGGAAAAAAAGGATAGTAGCGGAGCAGAGGAAAGAGATCCACATTAGTACTCTCCTGTGGGTAGCTGTTTGACCTTGGTTATTAGCTGTATGTGATCTAATGCCAAGGTATGTCAGCCAGAAAAATCAACATACTTGTGGCTTGTAACTACTACCCACAGCATGTACTGTTTGTCCAATAATTAAAAGAAAGAAAACAGATGACAGTGGAAAGGAAGAAGGAGAAAATAGAGACTTAGGCACATCAGCTGGGACCTGAAAGTATTTCATGAAAGAAGAGGATTAAAACAAGCAACATATAAAGTTATTCTCACAAAATAGAAAGTGTAGATACAGATAAACATTGGTAGAAAAATACGGTTCTGTCACCTTTGCTATTCAAACAATAAGCCATGAAAAAAGCCCACATTTTTAGGGTAAGCACAGAAAGTAGTGACTGTTCTGAAGATATTGTCTGCTGTCAACTTAAATAATCAAAGATTATGACAGCTAACAGGGAAATTATTTGCAGATGGATTGAGTAATACCAATAATCACAGCTTGAAAAGAAAAAGCTTGCAGTTCAGTTAACTCAAAGCAAACTTGAAGAGATTTATGTATATCCACATGTAAACATATGTAGTTATACATATGAAAAACAGGTAACTGACACATAGTTCAAAAAGTCTTTTGAAAGCTAAAATAGCTACACATATAAAAATGAACGTTTGTGAAACAAATCAACAGAATACCTATTACTGTACAGGCACAGGACAAATTGTGGACAACTAATAAAAATTCAATTGATTGCACTAATAATTACATAAAAAAACAGGGTAGTAAAGATCAAAGGGTTGCATAGTTAGAACTCAGTGACTGTAGTGTGAGCAACATGCCTGCATAAAAGAAACCCAAATGACAATTCTGATGTTGAATATTGTTTGCAGATGCAAACGCCAAGGACCTACAACTCATTTCTTGAAGAAAAGCCAATGTATTAAGACACATGATAGAAACAGCTTAGAAACTGACAGTAAATTTTGTCATGAGTGATTATGCCATTTATACCTAACATAGTCTGACTTTCAAACATACAAAATTCACTGTTTCAAATAGCTCTAATTACTACGTGCTCTGAAACAGGGGGGATGGGAAAGGGAAGGTGGAACAAGATAATCCATTTCAGCTTTTTTTAAAAGCTTAAACATTAAAATAAGAAAGATCTGGTCTCTGTTACCCCCATACTCCCTTTTCTAAAGATGGAAAATACTGCAGACACCACAAGTGAGGTAGTATGCAACATCAAGTCCTATTTTCATTATTAACCACTGCTACATACTTTCCTTTGATTACACTGGAATGGGGCAGCTTCCTCTCTAGGCATCACTATTTTTATACCAGATTTCATAAATGAAATAATGTAAAAAAAAAAAAAATAATTTAAGCACCTCTCTAGCTCATTAAAGCAAATCTTATATTTAGAAAGTGTTCCATAGTCTTTTAAAGCACATTCACTAAGTGTCTCTCAAAACATACTGTCTACTTTAGTACTGAAATGTCCCGTGGGACAAAGGAAGATACACCAGTCTTGAGACTGAACATTACTGAAGCTGCTGGTGTAATCCATGCTCCCTTGATTCAATAGCTTCAAAATAGAAAACATTCAACTTACTGCTTTACTATTAGTCTTATGACAGAAATAAGAGTATATGATTTTCCAAACAAACTTATTCCATTTAGAGTAAAACCCTCACAAATTCCCCTCAGAAATTTAAGGAAAAGAGTCTGAATGTAAAAGTTTTCCTCAGGAATCACAATTTTGAGCGCCTTCCCCTCCCCCCAAAATGAAAAAAATTACAACAAAATAGAATAAAATTAAAAAGATTATACTGTAATAGCTGAGGAGTAACCATACATTTAAAAAAAAAAAGTGAGGCTGACGTATAACGCAAACTCTGAATTCCTTTTTCCATTTCTGACTTTATGAATGGTAAAAATCCAGTACTGACGTTCCATAGCAGCATTGCTCTGAAAGAAGAGCTTGGACCACCAAGACCTGCGTAAGTGCAAAGGGATGGACAGATATTTTAAGATTATCCCTGACAAAAGTTTGCCTCACCATTTATATAGCTGTCTAAAGTTGACAAATTCCAATGACTTCACGTTGATACCATATATAAAATAGCCCTCAAAATCTTGTTAGTCATTTTATCTGCTAACACTTAAATTTACTCCTCCTCCATTTTCTCTTACTGTGTATTTAGTAACATGAGTTTACCATCTGTCTCTTTCCAACATTAACTGCCAGACTCCAGAGAGGACGCCATTGCACAAATACTGAACTAACATGCAATAAGATACTATTGCTGCCCTGGAAAACTTTGGTCTTAAAGGAGGACAACAGCAAACATGAAAATAAATGTAGAGAGGAATAACCAATGAAAAGGAAGCTTTTACCAGTTATGTTTACAATTGAACAGGTTTCAGGTAGAATTAACGTATGTTCATAAAAATGACTATCAAAAAGCAAAATTAAAATTAACTAATAATTCACGACTGCCAATCAAATTTAGATTTCAGATACAACTTTATGACCCACTTTACATAATCTTATGAACATTTGTCTTTTTTATGACAACCATACATAATGCATTTCACAAGGTGACTGAAGGTATATTCTCTAATACTTATAAATTGCTTTTTAAGCAATCAGTAAGATCTTGAACACAAGACTTTGTCAGAAATGAAGACTTTACATACTGTTTCTTATTTTTCAAGACCCTCCTTCTCCCAAACTGAAATTCAACCTTAACATGACAGAAAGAACTTAATTATGACTAAATCTCCCTCTGACTACCTTACATACTTATTTCAATACATGAACAGCAAAAAAACTTCCTCAGTCTTCCCTCAAGACAGTGATAATGTGGCTAGGTCTTACTTCAAAAACTGTACTATTGAGCATTCCATATTCTGACATTGATTTCTATGGAATGAAAATAAAGGCACATATCCCGAACTAAGTTGCAATGCTATTCAGACTAACAGCTTTGGTGATCAAATTCAGCACTGCAGCACAGAGCTGTAACCAGAGGACAAGCAAAAACACTTAAGCTAAGCATTTTACAGAGCTTCAGAGCCTCTAACATCCAGACCAGACATGGACTTAATCAGGTATAGGGTTAGGACTGGAGAAACAACAAGTCAATACAATCAATTCTGAAGACCAGCATCAGTAGGTGGAATGACAAATAGACCCATCAGAGGTTTGTATGCAGGACAGTAGACAAAATGAGATGGAAAAGATGCAGGAAGGGTAAGAAAAAGTTCTCCTATTTCTTGGGAAAAATCCTTAATCTTTATGGTATCATGAAAAATTGGGATACCAGCAGCAGGGCTATGCCCATGTCTCTGCTTTGAGTAAAATAGTGTCCTCCACATTGGAAATCAGTGTGAAACAGGATCAAGCTCAGAGCATGGAAACATTTTAGGTAACGCTGTGCCTATGATCTAATTAAGAAGTGCAAACAGTAGCTAGATGCCTACCTATTTAAGCTATGTTTTTTAAGGAACACAAAGATATCTAACTTAAATGACTTACAGAACATAACAGCCCACAAGTCCCTACAAATAAAGAGACATGATTGCATAGTTTAATGTTTTTCAAAAACTCCTGAAGACCTGTCTGTTTAGCTTTCCAAATTTAGATGAAATTTGGAGAATTGTATCTAAACCAAATAGTTGTCATGAATCAACCCACTGCTGATCGTTCTGTGGGTCATCTTGCCATGTAAAGACCAATAGCATTTAGTTTTCAATCAAAATTTGTAACCAACAAAGAAGATTTTGGGATATCAAGTGATTTTTTTCAGGAACCAGTAACAGACAAAAACTGAAAACGAATGGATATTTCAGCTGTGTATCTGTGGGTGTACTTCAATACTCACAGCCCTGGTTGGATCACCAAAGTCTATCTTCAACCTCCCCATTGCTCTAATGATAGCAATAATGGACTGAATGGTGTTACTGTAGACAACAGCTTTGTACTGTTTACATTCTTCTTCTGAATAACCAGCTTCATGGATAATCCTATGGAAGGAAAAAAAAAATAAATTCTCTATTCAAATAAAAAAAAAATATTTCTCTATCGTAGTATTTCACCATACTTACTTCATTTGTTTGACAATTGTGCTTTTCCCTGATTCACCAGCTCCTGAAAAATAAATGTGTGAAAATTCATTAGAGTAGACTTTTATTGATCTTTGAAAACACATTTAGTTTCTATATTTCAAACACCTAATCGACATAAAAATAGTTAAAAGTACATGTTACAAATTAATTTTTAATACTAAAATGTAAGGGTCTCAAGCTGGAAATTTCAAACCCAAGACATTTTAAGAACAAATCATTCAGCTCTAAAAAGTCTTTGTTTCTCTTTTTACTGAAGCGAGCATAATCTTTACACAGTCTGCTGGTGTTTCTAATGCAAACAGATAATAAGTTGTTCAATTTCAAAGGGGTCTGAAGCTCAATTCTTCTAACTGCCCTTTTAATCAACACCTAACCAAAAACCTCCTTTATACATCCTCCACACTATATTAAGTGGTCTTCACATGAACCTCTTCAAATTCTTCAGGGTTCTAGCCCCTGTAACCACCTTTTGGACCTTACAAGAATAAGCCAACACAGGCAAACTACTTTTGTTGGAGCAGATTGCATGAGGTTTGCCAGACATGCTGATACCATTCTCAATACTTAAGAAATTTAATAAATAAATAAATAAAAAGCACGGTATGTTAAAACACAAAGTTTACAAAGAACAGTTACTATGCCTGTCAGCAGACAGAGGAAAAAAATGCAGTTTTTTTCTGTCTCATCAACCTTAGTTTACTTTACCTCCACTTTCTTTGGTCTGCTGCTTTCTCTGAAAAATTTATGAAACTCTTAGAGCTGTGATCTAATCCCTTTAAGCCAGCACACTCCCACTTTGTCTGTGACTTGTGCTGAATTCTCCCTCTCCCATTTCCTCTTTCTCAATAAGGCTTTGCAGAAGCAAGTATAATCTTCACACAGTCTACAGGTATTTCTAACGCAAACAGATCATCAGTTGTCCAACTCCAATACAATCAAAGTGTCTTCTTTAGGGGTCACTGTGACCATGGAAAGCCACTGATAAAGGCTGTATTAACCTTCAAAAAAGGGCAAGAAGGGAAACCTGAGGTGTTATGACACTGTCAGCCTCACCCTGATCCTTGTGATAACTCTACAGCAAATACTCCTGGAAGTAATTTCTAGGCACACGAATGAAAAGAAGGTGACCAGGAATTGCCAGCACAGCTTTACAAAGTGCAAACCGTGCCTAGCTTGGTAACTTTTCATAAGTAAATAGCCAGTTTTGGGAATGAAGGACACCAATAGCTATCATTTACTCTGACTCTAATAAGGCTTCCAATGCCACCTCCCATAGCACCCTTGTATCAAATTAGATAAATATCAACTTCGAGGTGTCTGACACCTGTCAGGAGATGACCTTGGGCTAATACAGTTTAACATCTTCAGCAATGACCTGAAAGCCAGGATGGAATGCACCCACGTGAAGTCTGCAGGCAACATCAGTCTAGGAGGCAGGAATTGGTCACAACATTGGAGAACAGGGGTGCTATTCAGAGGGTCCTCAGTAAGCCAGAGGACTGAGCTGACAGGAATCTCACGACAGTGAACAGCAACAAATGTGAAGTCCTGCAAGTGGCACAGAATAACCCATGCAATAATAGACTTGGGACTAATGGGTTAGGCCTTGCGGAAGACAACTGTGGGGATCACAACCTGAAGAGTCCATAGTGGGCCCTTACAGCAATAAAGGTCAACCACATACCAGGCTGCTGCACTGGGTTTGGCTGGGATGGAGTTAACTTTCTTCACAGCAGCCCGTATGGCACTGTGCTTTGGATTTGGGGCTAAACCAGTATTGCTAACACACTAGTGTTTTTGCTGTTGATGAAAAGTGCACGGACAGCATCAAGGCTTTTTCTCTTTTCCACTGTTCCCACCCCCAGCGAGTAGGCTGGGGGTAGACAAGAGGTTGAGAAGCAGCATAGCCAGGACAACTAACCCAAGATGAACAAAGGGATATTCCATACTACATGATGCTGTGCTTAGCAGTAAAACGTCAGGGAAAGAAGGAGGACAGGTAGAGATTTGTGGTTATGGTGTTTGTCTTCCCAACCAATCACTATGCATGCTGAGGCTCTACTTTCCAGGAATTGGCCAAACATCTGCCTCCCAGTGGGAAGTAGGGAACTAATTCTTTTTGCTTTGCTTGTGTATGCAAGCTTTTGCTTTCCCTATTAAAATGTCATTATCTTCATCCACAAGTCTTCTTGTCTTCCTTCTATTTTCTCCTTAGCCTGAGGGCGATGACTGTGATCAAGCAGCTGTGTGGGTGTTTGGGTTTACGCCAGCCAACAGCTACCACTGCTGCACTGCAAAACTGCAGTCAACAAGTGAAAAGAAGCTGTTATTTCCCACCAGTCAGCATCCATGATGCTGTATCCCTCCTCAGCACCCAGTGAACGAGATACTAGACAAAAACTAGTAGACAAAAAGACTACTAGACAAAAAATAGTAGAAGGTCACTTAGTTGATTAGGGGCCTGGTACACATGGCATACAAGGAAAAACTACACAGAACTGGACTTTTTAATCCTGGAACGATTACAGGGAAGAGGAAGTGAGGTGTGTGTTTAATTGGTGTCCTATCCACAAAACCCACAAAGTGCTGAAGACAAAAGCAAACTTCTCAGAGGTATACAACAAATGTGAGGCAATCAAGAAGCTGCAGCACAGGCAGTTTCACAGAGATGGGGGGAGGCAAGGAACCTACCCCCATGGAAGAGGTTAAGCACTGGAACCGACTGAGCAGAGAGGAAGTAGAAACTTCAAGAAATCTTCAACTGGACAAGGCTCTGAGCAACCTTGTCTATTTTGATGTTAGACTGGCTTTGAGCCAAGGGTTGAGCTAGATGACCTCTAGAGGTTTCTTCAAACTTAAAATATTATTTGATGTCAGTATAACAAAATATTTCTACACTTTGACTACTGTATAGTGATGCCTTTGGGATATTCCTCCTATTAAACCAAATATGTAGCTTCCTGACAGGCTCAAGCCAATTTAGGACTGGCTGCCAAAAGTTGTGCCACCTCCTCCCCAGCACTGTTACTGATGTGACTAGACTTCCTTGCCTTCCTCCAACACACAGTAGAATGGTGTTAGCACTGATAGGAGCTACTGTGCTGCAGAATTAAGCAGCTAAGGAATAGAGTAGGCCTGTCAACACCAATCTAAGATTGTTTAATGCCATCTTTAGCCAATGTCCAAGTAAAAGACTTTTTTTGTTTGTTTTTATAAACTGCAAGTTTCTTTCTAGAGTAGCAATAGCTCCCAGACTCTGATCTGCCATGGAAGTTCAATACCAGCATATAAACATAAACAGGAAACAGAGACACTAGTACAAAAATAATTTACTATTGTGACACCCAAAGCATTTATAAACCAAATTAACATTTAATCTGTAAATAACTAATTATGCACATAAGCACAAATAAGTGAGTAAAGTTTAAAGATGAGCTTTATTAATGAAATCACCATAATTTACTTTGGGTAAATATTTTTTTCAAACAATTTGAAGTATGTAACCCTGCATTCAACAGTAATTTTGGAGATAATAAGAAACATTACTACAGCATTTAATTTGTATTACCTTGTGAAGTGCTCTTTCTGTTAAAAAAAAAATCACCGTATTTGACAAACTGAACAGGTCAGTGTTGGGGCTAGTTACAGTATCAAAATGTAATTATTTTGTAATACAGTTTCTACTTAGTTTTTCCTGTGTCAAATATGCATTTTTCTTTGTGGTGTTAGAATTCATGTGTACTAAATACCTAGAATTCTAACAAAAGCCCTATCAGTAACATAACCACAAACACTCACAATACATATTAAAAAAAAAAGTGTCATTTATTACAGAGTATCTAACATCAACAGTGATTTCCTGGAAGATGCATTCCCCTATTTGACTTACTGGAAAATAGAAACAGTTGTGTTTGCTTTGGGTTTGTGGTTTTTTTAACTGCACGCTAAAATGCTTGCAGCTTGCCTATAATCTTTGCAAAAGTATATAGGAAAATTGCACCTCACTGTCCCACACTGAAACGGGATTTTTTTTTTTTTTGCACTCCTAAATACAGAGCTCAGCCAGGTTCTCTGATGGATGCATTTGTAAAATTTCCTCCTTTACCTCAATCTGATTAAGTTGTCCATACAGTAAAATGAGGACTAATTCGGTTTTAGAAAGTTTTAGTCAGGAGCAAGCAGTATTAAATATTTCATGTGACAGCTGCATATAAAATGTCAGAGCTAGCTGTACTGTCACCACCAAACCCTACCCAAATTTAGACAGACTTGATTGTATATTCCTCAATCATCTCGTAAAGGATGCTATTTATTGCCTGCTACTTAAGTGTGAAGCTGAAATCAAGTATTACTACTGCCAATAATTTGAACAGTCTTATTCACTCAGTTACTATTTATGTATAACATAAAAAATATTAATGAAAATATGACAGTTCTGCTCAGACAAGAAAAAGAGCAGTGTAGCAGTTCTGAATTTGAAAGAATAGGGGGGACTTTTTGTTTACTTAGTTTTAAATTAAAATCTATGCTGTTAGGTCATCACTTTGACAAAAGAAAGTTCTAATAACTGATGAGTATTTTCATCTCTCTTGAACACTTTGTGTCCTTCCTGCGCTCCTCACAAAAAAAAAAAATAAAGGAGCAGCATTTCCTATGAAAATCCAATTTAAAGCATAGAATTTTAAAGCTTTCATTTACATGGTATAGTAGGAATGTAACTTCAACTAAGTCTAATACTCTTATTACACCTGCCGGCCAGAAAGCAGGTAGATCCTTACACTTCATTATGCAGACTGACAAAGCGTGGAGGCAAAGCATGTCCGACAGTACAATTTAACACAGGAAACAGCACATTTTCCCACATCGATTCTACTACAATCTGAAGGGTCTTCTGCCCCGAAGTTTAGTAATCAGGCTCTACCTTCAAGTGACAATACTTGCACAGCCAGTATTGGTGCTATCCAGAGCAGTCATTTACCTAGATCCAGCATGAGTCACAATAGCACTCAGTGAATT